CATTGTCTTAATTTTTATTCATTTATTTCTTATTTTTTTATTCCTTATTTATTTTCATTTTACTTCATTTATTTTTTTTAAAATCATTCTTTATTTTTATTTGTTTCTTTATTTTTTCTTCCTATATATATTTTTTTAATTATTTTTAAAATTTTTTATTCATTAACATTGACATCTCATACTGATGATGTCAAGTGTTTTTCATTCCAATACAATGAATGGTCATTCAATCTTTCCCCCTCTATCTGTTGATCAAAATGATACAACTGATCTTACTGTAAGTTTTACAGTAAATACTGTAGCCACTTCAAAAGGATTGTATATGAAGATAAAACAGATTCTTTATTATTTACAAACATCATATAATCACTCATTGATTATTAAAAATTATAGTAATAATAATAATAATAATAATAATAATATAAAATTAGACTCTATGATCTTTGAGTTGGTGAAGTTCTCAAACTGGTAAATAATGCCTATGGTTGAAACAATAATGAATAATGGATGATGATGATAAATGCTCTCTCACTTTAAAATAAATCTTTAATGACTTCATGTCATTCTCCTGAAGTCTCACTGACATTTCCTGCAAAGCATAAACACAACAGTACAGTTAGTGCTCTTCCTTGAAAATTAACTTTAAGGCATAAAGAATATGTATCAGAGATATGAAAATTGTGATGAAACTTTTAAGAAATGGCATTCCCATAACTCAAAAACTCTTAGTTAGAATCAGCTCAAACTTTCTACACAACACAAGGACATCAATATGTATCAAAAAATGTAATAAAAATTTGGGGTGAATTTGGAGCCATTTTTTGGAAAAAACCATGGGCTATAGCCTTGGGTACTTTTCAGATTTTGGCCCATTTCTTAAAATGGCCGTAACTTGAATAACTGAAGTCGGAATCAGCTCAAACTTTCTACACAGCATAACGACATCAATATGTATCAGAAAATGTAATAAAAATTAGGAGTGATTTTGGAGCCATTTTTTGGAAAAAACCATGGGCTATAGCCTTGGGTACTTTTCAGAATTTTGGCGTTTTCTTAAAATGGCCGTAACTTGAATAATTGAAGGCGGAATCACCTTAAACTTTCTACACAGCATAAGGACATCAATATGTATCAGACAATGTAATAAAAATTAGGAGTGATTTTGGAGCCATTTTTTGGAAAAAACCATGGGCTATTATAGCCTTGGGTATTTTTCAGAATTTTGACATTTTTTTAAAATGGCCGTAACTTGAAAAATTGAAGTTGGAATCGGCTCAAACTTTCTAAACAGCATAAGGACATCAATATGCATCAGAAAATGTAATAAAAATTGGGGGTGATTTTAGAGCCATTTTTTGGAAAATACCATGGGCTATAGCCTTGGGTAATTTTTAGATTTTGGCCCATTTCTTAAAATGGCCGTAACTTGAATAATTTTAGTCGGAATCAGCTCAAACTTTTTACACAGCATAAGGACATCAATATGCATCAGAAAATGTAATAAAAATTTGGGGTGATTTCGGAGCCATTTTTTTGAAAATACCATGGACTCTAGCCTTGGGTACTTTTCAGAATTTCGGTACTTTTCTTAAAATGGCCATAACTTGAAAAATTGAAGTCAGAATCACCTCAAACTTTCTACACAGCATAAGGACATCAATATGTATCAGAAAATGTAATAAAAATTTGGGGTGATTTTGGAGCCATTTAAAAAAATACCATGGGCTATAGCCTTGGGTACTCTTCAGAATTTTGGTGTTTTCTTTAAATGGCTGTAACTTGAAAAATTGAAGTCGGAATCAGCTCAAACATTCTACACAGCATAAGAACATCAATATGTATCAGAAAATGTAATAAAAATTTGGGGTGATTTTGGAGCCATTTAAAAAAATACCATGGGCTATAGCCTTGGGTACTTTTCAGAATTTTGGCGTTTTCTTAAAATGGCTGTAACTTGAAAAATTGAAGTCGGAATCAGCTCAAACTTTCTACACAGCATAAGAACATCAATATGTATCACAAAGTGTAATTTTTAACTGGCATGAATCTGCTAGCTTTGAAACCCCACAACTTTTTAGGAATCAGCTTAAACTTTATCCATAGCTTAAGAATGTATCAAGAAATGTTGGAGGTATTATGGTACATAAAAAAATGTGAATGTACGTCTAATTATCAACTATCAATAGCTACCTGTCCAATGTCAGTTGGTATCATGAGAGACGGAAGATATTGCGACTGGAGATACAGGAGAAACTCCTCACCCTAATTAATGCCCACCCAAACACTAATGCCTCTTGGTACCCTCTGTGTGACAAGTTCCTTCAACAATGATACAATCTCACCCAAACACTGCAAAAATAGAACTATTTTCTTACTAAGTAAGTTTGTCCTTCATTACAATCAAAGGTCAGTTGAAGAGGTACAATGAAGCAGATTGGTATTATCTCTTCAATCTTCATACATGTAATCAATGAATTTAATCCCGGCACTGGCTGAAGTTTTAGTTGCCATTGATCAAAGTAATGTACTTTATTCTTCCTTCAGTAAGGTGATTGTCTCTGGTTCTTATGATAAAAGTATGAAACTTTGGGACTTTTCTATCTGCTACTAAGAATTTTTTTATTGCCATTATGTATATTTTATTCAATATCATGATCATTTTTATTATCATAGACTCACTTTTTTATTCAAAACAATACTTTATAAAACACTAAAACACATGAAAAGGCATACATGTACATGTACATCTACCAATCCATAGTAATTAGAATTTAAAGATAAATTCACAGCTGCTAGATAAGAGTAAAATCAATATTGACCTGGAAACAGCCATACCAAAACCGGCCATTATAATAGCTCCAAATTTTTTACCAGTCAAAAATTTTATAATTCATTTTTAATAGCGCCATTGAGTAAAGACGCCGCCGCGCCCGGCGCCCACTGCATCTTATGATCTCAGCGAAATAATTAACTATGGCTATGAAGAAAATTAGGTGCTTTCTGCTGTTTGTAGCTCTTCTCTTGTGCATTGAAGCTGGGAATGGTTAGCTCCAGCATATTGATACATTCCAGTTTTATGCTCAGTTATGTAGGTCAAGAGAATGGAGTTGTCCGTCTTAATTTTAATGGAAATGTAGATATTTCCAACACTGAAGGAGTCATTGAAGTGTATTACAATAACGGATGGGGTTCTATTTGTTATTTGGAGGATCCTATTTTTATAGATTATTATGCGTATGTACCTGATGTAGTGTGCCATCAATTGGGATATTCCGGTGGGGACTTTGGCAGCAAGTAGAGTACATTATCAATGATCGTACACCATCAATTTTCGGACACTTGTTTTAGGAAAACTATACATTGCCATCTCATGAAACTACAAAGTATTATAGCAATAGTTATCCTTTATTTGCGTGACAAAACTTGTAGCTCTAGCAAGAGTGCATAGAAAGTTATAAGCTCTCAAAGCGTGGTGTCCGACAATACCAATGATCGGCCAAAATTCTCAATCTTCGGACTGTCATTTCTGAACGGCAGCAAAGGATAGTTTTAGAAGGTCACTATGATAACTTTGTAGGCCTGTCTTTAAACTAACTATCACCATCCGGATCTTTTTGATAGCTGTCTTTTGACAGAGATA